CATAACATGGAAAGCTTATTAGCACATAGTAGGCACATTTGCACATTGTAAGCAAAATAAAGGAGTGCAATGGACATCTCCATGTTTCCTGGTTAATTTCTTCTTTATGGAAACAACCAGGGGAGAGTGATGTTCTGCTTCATCTTTTGTATTAATGAAAACCGTGAATATCTAAGTGCGTGTGTTTAAACTAATTTTGTTTTGTTTTTACTGGTACCTTTTTATGTACACATGTTTTACCACCTAAGGAATTAGATGTCTTAAGCCCCCATATGATGTGCTGTTATAAGTTGAATTTAATGTACATTTTGTTTATATTTAGTTCTGCTACCAAAGAGATTGACTTATTGAAATGTTTTTGAAACATTTTAATGAACTCCTCAGCTTTAATGCCTTATTTCTCACTATACAAGCTCATATTGCTATGCCTCCTATTTGTTTGAATATCATCTCTAAACATTATTGCTGGTGCAGAAATTATATGGTAACTATGTTCTATTTTAGGGGGGGAAAGCAATCAATATTACAACAGACAGGGATGGTTATTGATGGGAGAAAGGAGGATGAGAAATAGGAACTGTACCAACTCTCTCATACCTTTGAGGACTTCATGAACTTTTTCAAAAGGCTGCAAGAACTATACCAACAGTGACATGACATTTTGAAATCTGTCAGTTACTTTATAGAGGAGGAACCTCTGACTAAATCATTTTCTCTCAGACACATGAAAGCCGAGTCCACAGATCCTTCCATCAGCGAATAGTTCAAATGTAGTTCAAATGCTTTCCTCGCAAACTTTTCCTTAATGGAGAAGTCAGTGATCTTTACTTGGAACAGATTGAATCTGTGAATATTGATGCTGAAAGCCTGATGAATGTGATTGAACAGCCCCTACTTGATGCTGAAACCCTGATGAATGTGATTGAACACCCACTACTGACTAAGGGCACAAATGTTGGAAACAACGTTTGTTTTGATCAATATAACACTATGGGTGGTGGGAGCAAATTGGAAAAAAAATTAAAAGTATGTTTTTAAAGATAGAAATACTGGTCATGGCTTCCTTTTAGTTTTTGTCCAATGAATTAAAAGTCAACGCAAATGTTAAGTAGTAAAAGAAATGTAAGATCCCTGGTATACATTGTACTTTTAACAATGCTTATGATCAATATCAATAAAATAAAATAAAAGTTATAATATGTAACTTGATATTTGTTAACTTCGCTCGATTTTACTGTGTCCAACATTTGATATTAAATCTTGTGTGATATATGAGAGGGATAGCACACAAGATTGTATCAATGTCAATGAAAGCAATTATTTCTTAAGTTTTCAACCATATTTCTTGAAACTTCATTTCTAAATTTCATACATCAATTGTTCAAGACAGTTTTAAGGTCAATTTCATTCAGTCAAGGTGAAGGCTACAGCTTCACAACCTGTTCATGTACATGTGACAGAGAAATTGTCAGTGCATTCCTAACTAAGTATTCAAACCAAATTTTATAAACCTTGATCCATCATTCTCAACATTAAATCATGCACTACCTGTTTGCATATACACAAGCAACCTCAACTTTCAATAAGTCCTGTTGTCAACATTTGTTGCACAATGCTATCAGTTCTGAAACCAACAATCATGACAACTGTAATAACATAGTATGTGTTCTAGCTGGTACATTTGCAGTACTCTTTTGAAATGTATTTGAAATTAATATGTGCATCTTATTTCAAATGCTAGCCTATGAAGATGATAAAGCTGAACATATGCTATAAAGTTGTTGTTTTCTTTGTGAAGAATTTATGCAATGGAAATAGAGGGAAAATAATGTAACTCTCCTAATCTTGTGTGTGTGTGTGAGTATGTATGTTTATATTTTGTTTATCTTATTCAATATTGAAACATACAACAATGTATCATATTGAATTAGAGTGCTTTTTATATTATTTGTTCATGGGAACACAGATTCAAAATAGTTCCATTTTTCATAAGAAGAGACCTTTTCACTGCAGTGAATATGTAAAACACTTTATTTAAAAGTTTTTCAAAATTATTGAGAGACTTGTAAATTTATGGGTAGCAGTAATCCACTTGCTTATCCACAATTTAGTTTCGGCAAGTAAACATCCTTATAAATATTGTTCTGTAACAATATACACTGACTGATGCAAAATTGAAACTTGAACAAAATTCACACGTATTAAAAAGCATGCCAACCCTGGTCGATGTGCACACTTTACAAGATAACTTGCTTGAATATATATTGATCAATATACAAACTTAGACGATAAGTTCAAAGTTGAGTGAAATCCATGCCTAATTAATTAGCATACTGTACTCTGATTGGTCAATGGTTTTATGCCAAGTAACTTTGTTAGATAAGGCAAGGGTTGATATCTTATTCAACAACAAAGGCAAAGTTCAAAGATGTTCACAATCTGTGCATAATCTATTCAATGGTTTAAAATAATCAGGTATTGGTCAAAGGGGTAAATGCCAGTTTCAGTTTTTAATGTTCTATGAAATACATTGTATGGACAAAGGGAAGCAATTCCAAATTCCTATGCAAATTAATTATCCAAAGGTTTAAAATGATATATTCTAGAGGAAACTTGGTACCACTCTTCTGACAAACCTATAAAGATATACTGTACACACAAGAAGAATAACTTCACAGTGGTACACTTTTACATAAAACTTTGATTCATAACAAATTAACAGTAAATCCTTCTGCACAATATGATGGGATCTTCGTCTTTATTTTGTTCTCCATTCCAAAAATAATATATATATCTTTTGCCTTAGCTTTCAGTACTTTGATTATTTCCTTACAGTCGCTTAATTAGTCTGTGCCATACAAATAATGCCCCTGTTTTGTTGTGTAATTATAAATTAAGAGACTAAGAAATCTCAACCCTTAGAGAAATATTCAGTCTCTGGCACACTATTGCAGCGATTATCGCCGCATGTTCAGATTTCGTATGCAAATTAAGTCTCTGGCGATATCGCCAGAATATCGCTGCAGGTTTCTGGTGATGTTGTGGCATAGTACTCATTCCATAATATGCTCTAAAAGCCTCACTCGGTTCTGGTACGTGTGTTTGCGGTGATATCGCCAGAATGTCACCAGAATGTTCTGGTGCAGTCGCGGCAATATCACCAGAATGTCAACAGAATGTCCTGGTGCACTTGCGGCGATCTAGCCAGAATGTTCCGGTGCACTTATGGCGTTATCGCCACAGGGTAGGGTTCTGGTGATATTGTGACTCGCCCACTCTGCATGACTTGGCAAGCAAGATTGGGATTCCCACAATCAAATATATGACAATATATTGCAACAGGGTTGTTGAGTACATATAGTTTAAATATTAATTCATACATGTAGCTTATATTGATCAGAGATTGGTAACAAAGTTCAACACATATGTATGGATACTTAATATATTTATTAATAACTAGAAGTTATCAATAATGTTAATATAATAATGTATAAAAGTATATTATGAACAGTTTTATAAGAAACAGTTCTGTATATTATAATAGGACCAACATGAACTTCTGTAAAAATATTACAGCGAGTCGACCTAAAGCAAGATTTTGATATGATATGTACTACGCTGCTAAATATATATGTAGTAGAATTGTGTAAGACACAATTTAAACTTAATTATACTGTTGTATGAAAATGCACTACAGTAATTCAGTTAAGATTTTACATGTTTTGTGACCATGCATTGATTATAAAAAACATTGAAGAAAACAAATTATTCTACATTACCTTATAAGACTCAAGAATGCTATCACTTTATCCAAAAAAGACTTAAGCCTCTTATTTCACTCAACTTTCCCTTTCACCATGAGCGTTATTCTGTGCACTTCAAATTCTGGCAACATGTTCTGGCGTACTGATTTGTGCGCCGCGTTACCGCTGCAAACTTTCTATTTCTGTAAGGGAACTGCCTGGATGTAAAATTTTAAATGCCAATTGAATTGAGCTTCGATTATTCTGGACAGCTTATTAATTTTTGACCAAATTAAAAAACCATAAGCATTTAATTAGATTTCTCAGCATGTTTTCATCCCACTTGAAATTTACATACAAAAATTATATGGATCTTGACCTTTTCAATAAAAAAGTCACTTAAATCAAATTTTCAGTTGATCCTTTGCCCAGTATATCGAAGAATAGAATACCATACTCCATATATGGCATTATATATATAGCTTTTCAACTATTTTTATAGTCTCCATCAAATTAAATCACCGAGATGTATGGTTGCGTTTATAAATATATATGGGGCAAAGAAGTAATTCCAACAGTGTTGACAAGTTTATAGGTTGTCAAATTTAAATATATTTATATATATATATATAGTTGCCTGTAGTCCATTTGTTTGTAACATACATTTTTTTGTTCGGAGCGAACAGTGTATCAACAGAACACCAGGCAGTGTCTATATAGTATGTACTCCGAAATGTTTAAATGATGACCTTGACCCAATTTCAAGGTCATTTTGGTCAAATATGTTTAAAAATCTTTAAGCAACTATATATATATATACAAATCTCATATAGGAATTGGCCAAGGGTGATGACATTTGGCCAGCAGTGCCATACTGGAATAAAGGACTACCAGTTTATTCAAATGAATGACGTTGATCCACTTTCAGGAACAACCTATGACCTTTATATACAACTGCAGCATGACAATACATTTGAAAGTATTAAAGATGAATTTTTATAACTTATTGATAGTACATATGATAAGGTTATTCCACATATCAGGTATGGTGCAGCATAAATTGTTGTTTCAATATCCAGTCGAGCAAAACATGCTTTCTGGGTCTGTTGTTATCAGGTAAATTTGACCAGAATTCTGTGTCAAGGTTATAAGATACCATCACTATATATATATGGTGAAATTACTTTATATATAGTAAACGTACATTTTTGTTGAGTTCATTTTATTCTTTTATTTAATTCACATCTAATTCTACAGGTTCTTGGACAGTGTGGAAGGCATCATCCGGAACAGTCGTAAGCTACGCCACTTTTCCTTGGGATGTCTTGAGGAGCTACTAGAACATTCCAGCATTTTTCTGTCTCTCCTTGAACGCCACTCCCGCAGTCTCCAATGTCTCCACCTGGCGAGTGTAAAGGAAGACTCCGAGGGGTACAGGATCGTGGAGATTGACCCTGTGCTCTTCCATCCCTTCACCGCCCTCCGACAGCTCAGCATTGATTACGACCACCTGACAAATCAGCTGCTGGAGAGCTTCACTCATCACAACAAGACCAAGTTGGAAAAGCTCATTATCCATGTTCACGGTGTCGAAGCAGATCACGAACGGATCACTAACTCCACATGGCACTGCATCCGCAGTCACAACCCTAACCTCCAGGTGACCTTGAACCTGATCCACTCATTTGATGGTGTGGACGCTCTCCTGGACATCCTACAGCCCAGCTTGCCATTGGCACATTTTCGACAGTTTTTCTGTGCCCACCTCAACACATCAGCCCTTTGTTACTTTGCGACCCACTACAGGACTACCCTGCAGTCTATCCATATCATTGACGGACTGATGGATGGCTATCCAGTACCGTACACCAATACTGCCGAGGAAGATCCATTTGTCATGCTGGCCTGGAGATGTAGCCTGCTCACCGAATTCACACTGATTGGTCAGTTCAAATTTCTCCTTTAGCTGGTTTGTCAAGGGAGGGAGCTATCATATTNGCTTGTTAAAAACATCAGAGATACATGGTGTGTTTGGTGGGATCAATGTACCTTTAGCTTTGTAAGTTATATATAAAGGTTTAGTTGGTATATATAGGGGTTTAGTTGGAGAGTTTACGTAATGGAGTGTCCCTTGTTCATATGTGTGCTGTCAACTTTCCAAAATTTGCTTCGACTGAACTGGTGGAACATACAGGACGCAAATATACATGTAATATTATTATCTTTTACATGATATTATTTTCAACTTAAAAAGAGCTTAAGATATGACTATTGACTGGGACTAAATGGAAGAATGTGGTGACAATCAAAGGGCTTGTTTGGTTGAAAGTTAAGATACAAGATTTGTTACCTGGTTTAGTACAGTAATGATGGAGGATGCTTACATCATGTATAGACCTATTAGCCTAATGGAGCCTTGAACTTGAAGTTTTAATCCCTTCAATTGAATTGCAAACCACTATTTTCACCACAGTTTTTAAATCAAGAGATCTTTAAAATATGTTTTGAAAAATGAATTTAACTGTTTTAGGTTACGAGATAGCAGACGAGGATGTGATTGCCATCTCCCGTCTGCGGGGAAGTCAGCTGAGTAAACTGACTGTCCCACGTTGCTGTATCATGACAGTAGATGATCCTGAGGAAAACGAAATGTGGGCCCCGGGTTATCAACTCCAAATTAACTTCACTGCATTTTCAGAACAGGTAAGCTATTCATCAGTGGTAATCTAAGACTTTACAAGGCCCTCATGTTTAAAATTTCCCGGTCGATAAAGTAAAACCTATGTTTTCTGACCCCTGTGTATTCTGACATCTTGTCTTAACATATTCCGATAAATATGTAGAGACGTTCCACAAGGCGTCAGAATAGACAGGTTTCATTTATACAAAGTAGAGTTCTGCGATAACTGCAGTACCGATATTAAAGCTCCTATTACGTCTTGGATATCATTACATGTGCATGTTGTACGAGTAGCTAGGTCAAATTTAAAATTTCTTCAATTATCGTTAAAAAATTGCGTTGCAAGGCAGTAATTGAAGATTTATTATGTGACCTAGGTATCAGAGAGCTTGACGTGGAATTGGCATGCGTTGGATGATCAGGAGCTCCCTCTGGCAGTGTTCGATGCTGATGCAGATGCTGAAAGGGCCTACATGGACATTCTGTTGGAGGAACAGCGACCCATCTCCTCATGCTGATGGGTAAAGGGAGATAACTAGAAAGAATAGCATTCAGTATTGAAACAACACAGAAATGACTTTATCTACAATGCAATATAAAGATTACATCTGGTTTAAGGTTTTTTTCTTTGATACCAGCCATAACTTAGCCTTCAGTTACCGGTAAGATGATCAAATCTGGTTCTATTAAAAACCAAAACACTGAACTTCAAAGTGAAGTTGTTTCTTATAACTCTAAAAATACAAATAATATGCAATAATTTTAAAACATTTTGGCGATTGAGAATGAAATAATTTTAGACACATGGAATGTATCATTTGTTATATGTCTGGAAATAGATAGCCCTAATTTGATCAATATTGCTTTGGCTCATGATTATGGTGAATTTATTTCAAAATTTCAAGTTTTATTCAAAGTTCAAAGTTGAAAAAATAAACCAGTTTATAAATATCAACTCCCATGGTGATGACCTTGAAAAAAAGGTTGAATTGCCAAAACAGAGAATTTAAAATATAATTAGCTGAAGTCCTTATTATTTCAAAATTATACTATTTGTAATGTTCCTAAGCACTTTCAATTGATACAACCGGTTGAAAATAAAGAAACCTTCTTCAATTTTGTTCAATTGACGTTATCGTACGAGAGATTCAGATGTAGAAGGCAGAGCAAAATTTGTTTTCCTACTGATCTGTATAGGGTACTGAAATATCTTCATAATTCAAGCTGCAAGTAAACACAATATTATCGCATTTTGTTTTCACATCTTATAATGACTAGTTTGAATTTGAATTGTCAAGAAGTTAAAAAAATTCTGAAGCCATAATTTATGACTGCATATTCATCTTAAAAATGAGGATTATTTTGTTTAGTGTAACAATTCAAAGATTGTGTGCATGTTTATGCATATTTTTTTTCAGAAACAACAGTTCTGACTGAAAAGGGTTTACTTTTACATTACCGATATATATATATATTAAAATTCCACCGATTTTGTTTCCCCCTCCCCACCCCATTTTTTGGGGGAAGTAGTTCCTTTCCTTAAAAACTATAGTGGATAGATAGGTGTTGCCGATTTCCTTTAGGTAGACTGTTAACTCAATCTCAGAGAGTCTAACCTACGTGTCTTCAACACATCTAGCTGTGCACCTTAATATAAATTGTTCATCTGTGAAAATATTGATCTGCCTAACAAATTTAGTTTTACATTTTACAATGTGCTAGCTGTACTGAATCAATCGATCTCCAATATTAACAAAGACAGAAACAATTGCGGTGTCATTTGTGCTTACTTATATAATAAACAATTTATGCAAGATTTTAGAGACAGTATTTAAAATCTATTACAAAATTGTGCAATGTTTATCTTATCATCAAATCAATGTAGCAGATCTAATTTGGCAATTACAGTTATACAATATATTTCATCGTCATGTCTTGTAAAAAGTGTTATTTTAAATTTTAATTCAAAGCTGATGAGACAGAAAATTGTACCGTTGTGTCTATAAATTCAGATTAATTTATATATATAAAATAATGATAGATATGTTTATATTTTATTTTATTTGAAACTTTGAAACTAAACTGAAATCCAGCGTGGGAGGTTTATGTGCTTTTTAAACTGTTCTACCATTTCATCTCCATGAATATATTGAGTACATTGGTACATATTCATTTTTCAAAGTATTATCGTAATGGTAGGTCCACAATGAATTCTACGATGTGTTGTTTCATATCAACCACGCTAGCTACCTCTTTATTCTGCAAAATGGTCTCATGCTTTGTTGGTTAAAAAGAATGTATCGTCAAGAAAATTCATATGAAAAATTTAGTACGCAAATCACAAACTAAATTAGTCTTTAATATTCTTTATAATCATTTTTTTTTTATAAATATTAACTAATTTCTTCGAAGTCAAAAGGAAGAAGAAAATAAGTGTAGAAATTCAAATATAAGATGTATTTTTTATCCCACCTTGAAATAATTATATAAAGAGTCTGTTACCACGTAAGTGTAGAAATGTAGCGAGGCTATATACATGTACATTGTACTACCATTTTGAAGAATATAATTTATTTTGAAGATGAAAGTCAAATTTTGACTTCAAAGATGAATTTTGGAAATTAAAGAATTAAATGCAATGCAGCCATTACATGAACCAGCCATTAGCAAAGTATGAACCATTTCCATATCACAAGGTTTTTAATGTGCCAAGAAGTTACCTATAGCTGTCTGCCACTTGATTCACTGTACACTTTAAATAACAGAGGAAGTTTCATCATTGTCCATCGTGTAGTGTTTTGTGATCATTGCTTATAATATTTGTACATATTGGAGTTTCAATTTTAAACCCTGAGATAAATACATTGATGGTTCCAACAGTTGATCCTGGACTTCATGTATCCACATATGCAAAATAACATGAAGTATAAACTCACTTTTTTGGGCAATTTGCATATTTTTATGAGTGTAAGTATTTAATTTTGAAGATAGTGTACTGTATATGTATATGAATAGACAAAAGTATGTTTAACATATGTTTAACTTAAATTCCATATAACATTTCAATTACAAAATACTTTTTTTTTTCCTCAAATCTAAAATAATTTATAAATGAATCAAAAGAAATTTTAAAGTTTTAAAACAGTTATAGAAACGAATGTAAAAATATTTGTTTTAGGGGAAAAATTTAAGAAAAAATATTTTTCGTCTTGCAGCTCAACTGTTTGGCAAAGTATTGTTTAATGTAAAGTTTTAAAACAGTCTGACTTGACTTTATTTGTAATAGTTGGTATGTAAGAGGTTGAGATGGAAGTATGGAGAGAAATGTCTAGACAACAACTAGGAACTGAGTTGTGCACAAATATGTACCACAGGTAACATTTTCTGTGAAGTTTGATTTTTACCTGTACCTGCAAATGCAATATTCTTCGTGAAATAACAATAATACAACAATGTTTACCATGAACTTTTATGCTGTGCTGCCTACATGTATACCTGCGAATGGATTTCAGCAATGCTCACGAGAATTAGGATTCATGGTAACATACAATATGTAATACATGTATATATATGATGCACACTTTGTTATCGGATAAGTATACGAGTCATTTAACAGCTGTGATATGTCATTCCTAGATGCCTGCACTACTATCAAACATCTTAAAGAAGGAGATCTGCATACTCCTTTATTTTCTTAGATCCCCTACCTAATGTTAAATATTGAACGTAAATTATTTGATGTTGTTGATATAAATACTTCTCAATATATATATATATATATGTTTGTATTGTTATAACGATAGTGCGATAATGTGATTTACTCCATCAAATGTAGATATTGTACAGTTTTCTCTTTTCCTTTGATGATGTTGTATGAATATTTGCACGTGTATTTTAAAACTTAACGATTTTTAAAACCTCACCTAATTGTAATGCAATTATATATTGATATGCCAATTAACAAGCCCGACTTCTATTTTTTTGATAGATTCATATTAATACCTGACTGATGTACTGTATACAGGGTAGTTTTCACAGCAGTGTTATTTTAGAGATTTTCATGGTCGGAAAAATTTATGATTCAACGTGATGCAGATGATCATCCGTGAAATACTTCATACTCAACAATCTTGATACTGTGATTGATTACTTGCAATTTTAACACAACCATGAAATAACACTGCGTGAAAACATTACTGTGCAGTTTTATGGAGAGAGAATCGTAGCGCTTCATGATAAAATTTTTACAATCAGATCTGCTATTGAATTCTGTTCATCAACAGACCAGAGTTTAGTGAAGGAAAAAATGAAAATCTCCGGCACAATGAAGATGCTATGGGGTTGTGGAACATGGGATGGTTGATAACGTAACTTATTGTTTAACATACTCTAAAAAAACTGTATGGTAAAGGATTATGAACACTTTATATTGTAATGATGTTTAATTTATGGTGTAAATACTTTTATGAAAAATTGTTATTTTTAATTATTATAAATCTTGTTTTAGTGGTTTAGGATGCATGCTGTTGGCGTTGTAGTGGAGAGTATTGACTCATTTACTCTCAGTGTAGTTTTGGTGTCTGTTCATCATTTCTGGGGGTGATCTATTATTATTGAAGAAATTTCAATCAAACCAATATTTTATTTGATAAGGCTACACAAAGTGTATAGTTACATTCGGATTGGACAGGATTTTTAACATATATACTAAAAGATTTCTTTATGAAATACAGGTTTAAAGAATATAACTTATGATAGGAAATAAAGAAAAACAATAAAAGTTGTAGCAATGAAAAGTCGATCAATCCAATTGTTTGAAAAAATGCTATTTTATGAATGTATAAATAACGGTTTAGCTTGAAGATTTATTTTTGCATTTAAAGCAATGTTTGAATTGAATTGTTTTCAGTTTCAGTTGCTAGTCGCATCTGCAGCATCATTATAACTAAATTGTCAGTTTAGTTTTTTCAATGAAGTTGCATGTACATTGTAGAATTTCACGTACACATACTACTGGTAACTAAAGAATTGTTTTACTTGTTGCATAACTCTGTTGAAAAGACCTAATTTATTGTCATGGAATCATCATTATTATATTAAATGTTTTTGTTTTGTTTAATTTGAGCAACATTGTGTTAAAATGAGCTGAAGTCTGAATTTCAAAAAAAAGAAGATGATGTTATGTGATAAACAGGGCCAGGAGAGTGGTCCAGACACCCTCCTAGGCCCTTGCTTACAGCTATACATCAAGCTGTGGAATTCAAAAATTGTTCACCGCCAAAGTTCAACAATGCCATCTAATTTATTTCTATGACTTAGCTTATTTGTTATACATTGATGAAGTACTCACTTTGCTACAAAAGTTACCATTGTCTTTCAAGTCTTAAACATTTCTAGGAAAATAAGGCTGGACCTTAATATGTGAGTTTTAAAATTCTAAAATGTTATTTTCAATGGTCCAAAAAGTCTATTTACACAACAGTGGCACAGAAAAAAACATCACATTTGACTTATCAGCATGTCTGAGAGATTAAGGTCTAATCATATATATTTTTTTTGTTATTTTCAGTGATTATTTTTATATATTTCCTGATTTTCTATACATGAATGAATATCTCTCCAAACAGTAGCATGTAAAATGATAAAATTTACACGGTAATAGGTCTGGCAAAACTAGCCTGTAGTTATATGACATTATTCAAGAGTTGTACTTCTTAATCTGTTTTCAAAGAAGCATCGTTGCATGTACCTGAAAGAGTCTTAAATATAACATACTGTTTTTGAGCATTTACTTCTTACATATAATTGGCAAAAGAAATTGCTGAAAGAATTCTGAATATTTCTCTGTTACCAAATCAAACTGTTTGGTTGAAGTACACATTATCATGCTGAATACTTTTGTTGATAGTTGTTTGAGATTGTATTCTTACAGTGTAGAATTACCATCTCTTGTTTGAAAATTTGACAATTATATAGTGTGTCAGTGCGGTAACTGTCACTAAAGTACTTACTATTAAATGTATTTACATAATATTACGTTTGTAAAATATCAATGTGAAGGTCTTTTGATTTGTTCGTTTTACCCATGTTAAGTTTGAAATTATGTTTTAATTTATAAACAAAGTGGTTCAAAATTCCACCAGAAATAATCTCAAGATTGAATATTAAAAACTGTAACGGTGAAAACATCTACCAAAATCTCACCACTGCAGACAATAATACAATCTCTTATTTAAATAACCAGGTGATAACGATGGGATGATGACAATACCCCAATACCGTATACCTTAGAGTGGGTACTTCAGTAGTTGATGAAAGTTTCAGCATCACTTTTCCACACCAATGTTTACATGGTTTTTTTTTACGTTTGAAAGTTCACAACTGAAATAATGGCGTTTCCTTCATGAGCACCTATATATTTTTTTCTGGAAATAGTGTAACACCTTGTTTAAATATCTTCTGATTCTGTAAATTGAAATGTGATACTTAATTAATTTCGACATCTGTGTCCTTCCAGTATAAGCTACATATACTGGAGTATCACTTGGAAAATAATTACATTTTTGATACTTCTAAAATTGATTTTTTTTTTCGTGATATACAAATCTTTGTACCATACTGGATCTCTGCATTAATTATTTTAGCATTTTTGTGAGGTCGTTTGTTAAACAAAATTATATTATCTTGGATCTGATTGAGAACAAACTTCGTAATACATACACAGTGTTATTGTACACGAAGCGTGATGTTTTTATTTAACCCGTATTTAATCATTGAATTTTTGTTGTTGAAGAAACTAGTCAAAAAATTATCGATCCGTTTCCCATAGTTAGTGATCGAGTTACTCTAAAAAAGCAGATAAAATGTCTCCTTTTTAAAAATTAACCAAACCATTGTTTATTACAAAAATTCAATTGGAAATAAAAAGTTAAATACTTTCCTCAACAACGAAAACATACTTGACCACGTTAATTTTAAAACAGCGCGGATATTAATTTTTATGAAAACATAAAACTGACACTGCAAATATTCGTAGCTCTCTATTATCTCAATAATACAGTATTTCATTTTTATAAGGTGAATTGCTAAAATATGTGATTGTGTTAAAGTAAGTTTCTTGCCTGTACGCTATTTTACATGGCCTGTCATGATCAGCTTTATGAAGCTGAGATAAATCTTTCACATGTATGTACTCAATATACCGTTCTTTATGAACTAGATAAATCGGATCAAACACTCTTTCGTGGATTGCCACCTTGATACATATATTTAATACTACATGTACTAGACATTCATTTGTTTTAATTTTAATAACCATATATATATATGACCTGTACAGTTGTTTAAAATATTGTGCTTTGCCTTAAAATGGAGCACAAGATGCTTTGAATTGTGTGTGATGAGTTGAAATATGGCGGATAATCGTTAAATACTAGCACATACAGACGTGGTTCAATGCGGGTAAGTCGCCTACAGTAATACAACTGAACATTCCATCCAGTTTCTTGTGCGTTTTCATGATTAAGGCATGTGAACTAATCTATAATATTTTGTCATTATTGAATCTCTCTGCACATGAAGCTATATATGACAAACATTGCAAAGCGTGAAATATGTTTCAGTTATACGTCATTTCATGTTGGACACTGTTATTTAAGATATTTGAAATGTGATGCAGAGAATGGGTGAAAAGAGTCACGTAATATCATAGATGTTATCTGTTTGAGACACTATGATGGCTGTGCTTGCATGGCTACTGAATATATGAGTATAAGAGAAGTCTTGTTGAGATATTGTGTTGTTAATTAGACATTGCTTGTTCGGAAGATTTGATTTATCAAGATGATCCTAATTTAACACTGTGATAGCTTTGACCTCTCGATATAACGAGGCAAGCATTTGTGTTGGAGCGTTACGAGGTGATATTTATATATACATACTCATTTTGCATGGAACGATTGTCAAAAACTGGTAATGCCTAGTCATCGACCCTACTGGCAGTGCAAGTTTCAGTTGCTCAAATAGTCCTTAACATTTCCAAAATAATTTGATTTGCAATGACCTAAAATTTAAAGTCATCGCAGTTTATCAATATCTATATTTAA